GTGACTATATTAAGTCCCCCCATGCCCGAAGCTGTGAAGGTGAAAGCCTTAATAGACTCTGGCTGCACCCGCTGCCTCATTAGCCCAACACTAGTGGGAATCTGGGCATCCCATCGAGGAGACTGGAACAACGAATCTCATTTGGCCAGTTAGATGGATCCATAGCAGGGGGGGTGCCAGCTACCCTAGCCACTCTACCAACACACCTCTCCCTGGGCGAACATGAAGAGGACATAACGTTTGTGGTGACCCCAGGTATGGAATGCCCAATCATTCTAGGGATGGAATGGTTGAAAAAATGGAACCCTGGGTAAATTGGAGGACGACAGAAATCAAATTCCCAAAGGGGGACCCTATGGACTTAAAATCCGAAGGGAGGCTACCACAATCAAGAATAGAAAAAGCATCCATAGGAGAGGAAAAAGGATTAACAGAAATACCAGAGGAATATAGAGACCTTGCTGAAGTTTTCAGTGAGGAGAGGGCGAATGAGCTCCCCCCCCCACCGACCCACAGACTGTACCATTGAATTCAAGCCTGGGGCCAAACTCCCGAAGCCCAGATTATACTCCATGAGCCCAAAGGAGAAGGAGGAAATGGAAAGATTTATTAAAAAAAACCTGGAGAGAGGTTTCATTGAGCCAGCCAAGCCTAAAGTGGCTGCCCCGGTCCTTTTTAGAGAGAAGAAGGATGGCTCTTTACGTTTATGCGTGGATTATAGGGCCATGAATACAATCAGTGAAAGCAACCTATACCCGCTGCCCCTCATGAAAGACATGCTGTCACACCTATCGAAAGGGAAAATTTTTTCTAAACTAGACTTAAGGGACGCTTACTATCGCGTGAGAATCAAGGAAGGGGACGAATGGAAGACTGCATTTAACTGCCCCATGGGGTGCTATCAATTCAAAGTCTTGCCATTTGGATTACAAGGGGGCCCTGCAGTCTTTATGCAATTAATCAATGACGTTCTAAGGGAGCACCTGTTTAAGGGGGTCCTTGTTTACTTGGACGACATTCTTATCTGTACTGAAACAAAAGAAGAACACGTCAAACTTGTCAGAGCGGTTTTAAAGAAGCTGCGAGCCGCTCACCTATATGCCAAACTCTCAAAATGCGAATTCCACCAGGAAAGGATAGACTACCTAGGCTATCGCATATCCCCACAGGGCATTGAAATGGACCCAGAGAAGGTCAGAGCAGTATTAGAATGGGCACCACCACGCACAAGAAAGCAACTACAAAGTTTCCTGGGCTTTGCAAATTTTTACCGCCAATTCATCCCCTCATTTGCACAGATAGCCTTGCCCCTCACTAACTTACTAAAAACGAAGGGAACATCCTCAGTAAAACCTAGCCAGCCACTAAAATGGACAATGGAGTGCCAAGCAGCGTTTGAGAGACTCAAGAGACTTTTTTCTGCCGAACCAGTACTAAGGCACCCAGACATGGACAAACCCTTCATAATACAGGCAGATGCAAGTGATGTGGCAGTGGGGGCTGTGCTATTACAAGAAAATGATGATGCAGTATTGCAACCCTGTGCATATACATCTAAGAAAATCACGGAAACAGAACAGCGCTGGCCCGTATGGGAGAAGGAGGCTTATGGGATACGTGGGGCATTACTCACGTGGCGACAGTTCCTGGAAGGCAACAAAATCCCCTTCCAGGTATGGACTGATCACAAAAATTTAGAAGCCCTGAAAACTTCCAGGAAACTCAAGCCCAAACAAGCCCGCTGGTCCCAGCATTTTCACCAATTCCAATTTAAGCTCAAACATTTACCAGGAAGAAAGAACTTCCTGGCAGATGCACTATCTCGCATCCCCCAATATAACAGCGCACGAACCACAGACTCTAGACCAATAATGGCAGAGTCACAACTGGCAGCGCCAGTAACCCCAAGAACCCAAGCCAAAATAAAACCACAACTGGAAAGCAAAACGGGATTGAATTCAGCAAAAAGTTTGGAAAACAGATCTGATGTTCCAGCAAACAACAATGGGTGAAACAATGAGAGACGGATGTGCACTGAGAGTGTTGTGTGTGCGTTAAAACGTAGGGGAAAAGTATATATACCAACAACCAAAGACTAACTTTATCGCAAACTTTGCCATGAACACATCAGCAGGCATTTTGGATTTGTAAAAACTTTACACTTAATTAAACGGCAAATTTGGTGGCCATCAATAAAAAAGGACATAGAAAGTTATGTTGCCAGCTGCCCAACCTGTGCATCAGCAAAGAGGTTGCAAGGGAAATCGCCAGGGCTGTTACAACCAGTGGCAAGTCCCTCAGCCCCCTGGAGGGAAATAGCCATGGATTTTATAGTGGAATTGCATGAAAGCAATGGGAATACTGTTATCTGGACAGTCACGGACCTATTTTCCAAACAGGTGCACTTTATCCCTTGCCAAAAAATTCCCACTGCACAGGCCTTAGCAAAACTTTTTATCCAGCACATTTACAGATTGCACGGGGCACCCCAACGCATCATCTCTGATAGGGGAGTGCAATTTACGTCTACATTTTGGAAGGAATTTTTATCCCTCTTAGGGACCACTCAGGGACTGACATCTAGCAATCACCCTCAGACAGATGGACAAGCGGAACGCTGCCAGTCGGTACTTGAGCAATATTTGAGATGTTTTTTAAATTTCCAACAGAGTGATTGGACGGACTTACTTCCTTTTGCAGAAGTTGCCTACAATAATGCAGGCCACTCCAGCACAGGCTACACTCCTTTTCAAATAGCCAACGGCCAAAGTTTCAACCCTATGCCAGAGTTAACCCCAAAAGAACCAACGATCCCTTCACTGAAAGAATGGATGGAAAACCTACAAAACACCTGGCCACTAGTCAGAAAATCACTAGATGAAGCTAGGCGGGCATACAAAGCACAAGCAGATAAAAAAAGGGTTGAGCCTACACCATTCATTATAGGAGAAATGGTGTACTTATCTACAAAATACCTAAAGTCCCTACAGCCCTGTAAAAAACTTGGACCAAAATACATAGGACCTTTTCCAATTAAAAGAATCATAAATCCCGTAACAGTAGAATTAGAGTTACCCAAAAATCTCAGGCAAATACACCCAATTTTTCATTGCAGCTTGCTGAAAAGAGAGCATCAGTCACCTCTACGGCCAAAAATCCCCCCCCCACCACCTCCAATCATGGTGGAGGGGGAACAACACTTCGAAATAAAAGAGATCCTTGACTCTAGGAGATATCGTGGAACAACTCAGTACCTAGTTGCCTGGAAACACCTCCCTGCCTCACAAAATGAGTGGGTCCATAAACGTCACGTCAGAGCCCCGAAGCTATTGAAGAAGTTTCACACAGAGTATCCTAACAAGCCTAACTAAATTTTTTACTTGTGTTTTCTTTCAGGTGGATCTCTCTTATTGTTAAGAGGGGCCGGATGTCAGAATCCAATTATATTTCATCTTTAATTATCAAACATAGAAACTCCCAATTCTGCCTTCTCTGGATTCTGCCATAAGAGGGAGAAAAGGGGGAGAGCAAAGGGGCTTTATGGCCCTCACTTCCCTTCAGCACACTTCAAAGGACTGAATGTGTGTTTATTGTGGCCTCTAAGCTTTAACATATCAAAGAAGAGTAATTGCCTTTCATGTAGTTATCTGAAGTCTCCATCCAGACGGAAGAAAGAAAAAGGGGTGGAATTGTGATACTTGAAACTATCACTGGAAGGGGGGTTGATTGGGTGGGACTACTGGGGAACCCCTTAAAACCTTGAATGGGAGAGCTTGAACCCCAAGTCCTGTCTAGCATGCCTGCAACCATTTTCTCTTAATAAAGGATTCCTGTTGGAAGAATTATTCCAAGAGTTCTGTCTTCTTAAGATGCAAAGTGGGGTGGGTCCTCACAGCCGCCACCATGCCAGCCAAGAGGAAACTGGTGTCGCTGGCCCTCAACGTCACCCCACCATCGCTGAGGGACTCAGCCCCACTGGAGGTGGCGAGTGCAATGGCTCCAAGTGAGTGGGCTTGACCCCAGTGGGGCTTCTGGAGTGGGGTGCTGGTTATGGGTCTGAGGGGAGTGGCTGAAGGGCAAGGTATTTGTGAGGGGCGACCAGGGTGAGCAAGAAAAAAGGAGGAGAATTTGCTCCTGGAAGGTTATTTTGAGGTTGTGAGGGGTTGTGTTGAGCTGAGGCAATGAAAGGTCGGTGGAGTTGCTGGGAGGGAGGACGTGGTCAGCCTTTGGAGGAGCATCCCGATCTACAAATGGGGGGGTGCCGCATCCAGGTGAAGCCCTGAGAGCTAGACAAAGCGGGAGGCAGTGGAGCAGCTCAGAGGAACCAGGGGTGCTGGTGCTGTTGGTTGAGAGAAACTTCATTGGCCTTTAGGATCCAGGAAAAAGTGGAGGAAGGATGGGGGCATTGCCATGCGCCCCATGGGAAAGAGGAATGAGATCCTGCCAGGCAGGTTCTTCTGCCTTGAGACAGTCTAGTATGCCAATCAAGGAGAATACTTCTGTCTCAGGGTTAAAATGAAGGGTCCTTGGGGGAAGGTCTCTGAGGATGGTGATTTTCTTGTAGATGTTTCAGGACCCAAAATGGGATAATAAGTGAACTGATGATGTTACCTAGTTTGGGTCATGAGATGTCTACAAGAAAGCCATGAAGCTCAGAGAGGACCAAGGAACCCACAACTGCCCTCCTCCTCTTCTCTTCTCCTTCACTCCACAAACCCTCTCTCTTCTGGCACTGCTGATGTTACCTAGTTTGGGTCATGAGACATCTGCAAGAAATGCTGAATGGAAATGGCATCTTGCCTTTCTGACAAATGTAACAGAGCTACTCAACAGTTTCAATGTGCAACTTAAAGGAAAGGGGAAGCTCATCTGTGATATGCATTCATATGTGAAAGCATTTGAAGTAAAATTGGACATACTCATTAAACAAGTGAGAAAGGAAAACTTCTGCCATCTTCCCACAATTTAAAAACTATTTGTGGAAAAACTAGCAGTTGCATTCCCAAACAAAACATGTGTGGATTCACTGGAAATGTTGTATATTTTCTTCACTTAAAAACTCATTCAAATAATTAATCAATCAATTTTTCTTGTTTCATTTTTTCATTTTATACTTGATTTTACATTGTTCTATAATCATTATTTTTTTCAAATTATAGTCTGCCCGCCCCAACAATCTGAGGGACAATGAACTGGCCCCCTGTTTAAAAAGTTTGAGGAACCCTGATGTGAAGGAATAGCACCTCAAATTGTTTTTCAATTGGCTTCTCCATCATATCTAAAAGAAAACAATTATGTTTAATTAATATTTGTATCTTAAATATTTTCTGCATCATCATTTTTATATTTATCCAGTATATTTTCACATATTTGTAAGACCACTGTTGTGTCCTGAGCCTGCAAGAGCTGAAAGCAGGCTCAGAATGTTGCAATTGATCCCGGGCATTCCAAAAGCTGCCCGGGGCCAGACAGAGTGGCGCCAGCGTGAAAATGCTAAATTCCTATTGGTTAACACTGTCTGGTTTCTGGCCCTATAAAAGGCCTGCGTGCCTTTTGCTTTTTTGCATGGTTGTAGGAGGAGGGAATAAAGTGTTTGTTAATTGTCACCATGTGTCTTCATCAATTACACACGAACCAAGAACTCAACATTGGTGATGAAGGTGGGATCCTCTGCAAGCAATAAAAAAAAAGAATTAAGGACTCACCCAGGAAGTCCTGACTAGGGGGAAGACGGCGTCTGCATCAGCGTCTCAGCCTGCCAGTACAGCGTCGCTGGGGGTGAGCTTGGCTAAAGGACCCTTTCCCAAACATCAGCTTGCAGAGGAGGCAATTGGTGAAGGTTGTAAATTTTACGATGTTGAAGATTGGCTGCTTGACTGATTTTGATGTCTCCCACCCAGAGAGATGGAATTCCTACGTAGCACGGGTGGAGAACTACTTTAGAGTAAATCAGATAAGAGAAGACGGCCTGAAGGCAGCAACTCTTTTGTGTGCCTGTGGACAAGAAGCTTTTGACATCGCAGAAAATCTGGTGGCCCCTGCACTTCTGGAGTCAGTAACATATGCTGACTTGAAAAAGATGTTGAAGGAACACTTAAAGCCGAAGTTATCCATCATTGCTTGGAGGCATGCATTCCAGCAGAGAGACCAGAGGCCAGGTGAATCTGCTGCGGACTTTATTGCTGCCTTAAGGCAAGCAGCCAGGCCTTGTGAGTTCAAGGATCTGGAAGAGAGGCTGCGAGATTGCTTCGTATGTGGCTTAAGAAACAGAGACTTACAACAGAAGATTTTTGCAAAAGAAGATGTCTCCTTCCAAGACGCGATACGAGAGATGGCAGCTGAGGAAGCAGCAGGCGGGTCTGTGAAGGCTTTGAGGCTTGCCAGGAACCCTCCAGCCACAGCTACCATCCATCAAGAGGACGCTCAAGAAGAATCAGAAGCGGATCCTGAGGAGGAGGTGGACAGACTTCACCAGCCAGCTGAGAGGAGGCCAAAGGGATGTCCAGACAAGGCCCCAGCATCTCTTCAGTGGTTCGGGTGTGGAGGATGCCACAAGCGAGCTGACTGCAGGTTCCGCTCTGCCATTTGCAGGGCATGTAGCAGGCAAGGCCACATAGCCTCCATCTGTTTGGGTCGCCAGAAGGTCCAACCTTGGGAAGAATTGCTTCAGAAAGGTACCAGCGTCCCCAGCCAACACAGGGTGGGCTTCTGTGCATCGCGCAGGAGTATTGTTAGGACAGAGACACACACAAGCCCCTTAAGAAGAAAATTTGCATTAACATGAGATTGCAATGGGTTCCCTTATTGATGGAGTTGGACACAGGGTCCGCTCTCTCAATTATTTCAATTAACACCTTCAAAAGGATTTGCAGAAGCAGTGGCCTTCGAGTTAAACTCAGGCCATCGAACCTAATACTCACTGATTTTCAAAATTCTAAGGTATGTGTGAATGGGGAGGCCACACTCAAGGTACACCATAAGAATTTTGAAGGTTTCCTGGATGTGGTGGTAGCTGGGGGTGAATGTACAAGTCTTACTGGACTTGATTGGTTCGAGGCTCTGGGAATCCAAGTAACTGTGCTGCACAACTTGCAAATGTTGGGCCTTGCAGAGGTTTGCAAGGAGTTTGCAGATGTGTTTAGTTCAGAGCTAGGATCCTACAAGGGGCCTTCCATTGCACTACGGTTAGACCCAACCATCATGCCCATCAGGGTAAAGCCTAGGAGGGTACCTTTTGCCCTCAAGGGTAAGATAGATGCTGAGCTGGACAAATTGCTCCAACAGGGCATTTTAGAACCTGTGGATTCTAGTCCATGGGAAACCCCCATAGTAACGCCTCTAAAGGCTAATGGGGAAATCCGTATATGTGCAGACTATAAATGCACACTGAATAAAGCATTGCAACAGCACACTTATCCAGTGCCTGTTGTAAGCCACATTCTGGCCTCCCTCACGGGGGGGGGGGTGCATTTTTGCAAAACTTGACCTGGCACAGGCCTATCAACAGCTACCTGTTGATGAGGCATCGGCAGAGGCCCAGACTATTGTAACTCATAGGGGGGCCTTCAAGGTCAAAAGACTGCAATTTGGGGTAAATGTAGCCCCTAGCATATTCCAAAGTGTCATGGAGAGCACACTTCAAGGTATTCCTGGGGTCTGTCCCTACTTCGATGACGTCCTCATTGCTGGGGAGTCATCTCAAAATTTAGCAAAAAGGCTAAGGGCTGTCTTGCTTCGTTTTTGAAAAGCAGGCCTTAAATTAAAGCAGGATAAATGCAAGATAGGAGTCACTTCCACTGACTTCTTAGGGTTCAGGATTGATGCCCAAGGCATTCACCCTGCTGAATCCAAATTGCAAGCTATTCAGCAGGCCCCAAGCCCCGAGTCCAAGCCTTCTTGGGGCTCTTAAATTTTTACCATGCATTTCTCCCACATAAGGCTGCAGTGGCAGAGCTGTTACACAGGCTCTTAGACAAGCAGTTTCCATGGCAGTGGACCAAAGTCCATGACAGGAGCTTCAATGAGGTTAAGGCCTTGCTCACTTCAAATGCTTTTTTAGCACATTTCAATGAGCAATTGCCTGTTTGCATTACATGCGATGCATCTCCTTATGGGGTGGGAGCAGTACTTAGCCATCTGAAGGCTGATGGGATACAAGTCCCTGTGGCCTATTATTCAAGGACTCTGTCATCTGCAGAGCAGAATTTCGCTCAGATTGACAGAGAAGCCTTGGCCATAGTGGCTGGCATAAAGAAATTCCATGATTTCTTATATGGCTGCCACTTCACAATCTATACAGACCATAAGCCTCTGCTGGGTTTGTTTACCACTAACAAACAGACACCACATATCATTTCTCCTCGTATGCTGAGATGGTCCATTTTCCTGTCAGCATATGACTACACTCTAGTTCACAAACCTGGAAAAGAGATGGGTCATGCAGATGGCCTAAGCAGATTACCTCTGAAACAGGTAGAGGCAGATCCTGCTCCTGCTATCAATATTCTTTCCATTCAGGAGTTGCCTGAATCTCCCCTAAACGCTGCAGAAACTGCCACTGATCACATGCTTACACGCGTGCTGACCTGGGTGTTGTCAGGATGACCTGACAAGTGCCCAGATACTGAGTTCCAAAGCTTCTGGCACAAGAAGCATGAGTTTTCCATTTTCAAGGGTTGCCTATTATGGGGTAGCAGGGTAGTAATCCCAGCCTCATTGAGGTCTAGAGTCTTGCTCTCTCTGCATGAGGGACATCCTGGTATAGTCAGGATGAAAGCGCTTGTGCGCAGCCATCTTTGGTGGCCTGGAATCGATAAAGCCATCGAGGCTCAGGTGCACGCTGCCAACTGTGCCAACAGTCATGGCCTGAAATGCCTCAGGATTTCATAGGTAGGAGGAAACTCAAACCCCATGGTCAAGGGTGCATATAGATTATGCTGGGCCCTTTCAGGGGCAATTCTTCCTGATCGTTGTTGACAGCCATTCCAAGTGGCTAGAGGTTGT